GGGCAAAAGAAACGAGGTCAAAGCGATTTAAAGTAGAACGCACCTCCATCACAGAGGCGTCACCGAACTGGGCCAGAAGAGTGAGAATGCCCTCTTCTTTTTGCATCACTTTCTCCAGAGCATTGACGTAGCCGGCCAACTTCGCTCTGCTATAGACAATATCTAGCGGAACATCGCGAGCATACGTGTAGACGTGCGTCTTCAGCGACGCACGCAGGCCGGCGTAAAATGCGGTGGACATTGGGGTGAGTGGGCCAAGATCATTTTGCCTAACAATCAAAATCTTCACTAGGGTGTAAGGATCTGCGGCTTGGACGGCTGCGCCGTGCGGGGGTAACGGAAGCAGCAGCAGCAGCAGAAGGACAAGGCACGGCGCCGCCGCGGAGGGCCGCGAACCAAAGTGCGCACTGCAACCACGCCGCCTCCAACACACCGACATAACTGCTGCCCTGCGATTGCCTTGCTGTGTAGCCTGTAAATTACTGCCGCATGGAGGGAGAGAGAGAGAGAGAGAGAGAGGAAAACAAAAAAGTGAATGAATAATGGTAGGAAAGCAACGTCAGCAAAGAAGAGAACAAAAAAGGTTTCACTGAAATGCTCATATATATATATATATATATGCAGGGCAGGCACGGAGGGGAGGGGGGGGGTGCGTGAAAAACAAACGTACACGCATACGTACGGCGCTCTGCTGCACTGCGACTGTTCGGCGGTGGCGGCGGGGGGCCACCCGTGTGAAGGGCAGACACAGCGGCCCCTCGCTTACTGCCTCCCCCCGTCTACCGGCTCTCCCACACCGCCACACACGTGCGGTGCGGTGCGGTGCGTGGGGAGCGTCATCCCCTCATCCTTCTGCCTCCCACGCAGATGCCGCAAAACAAAAAAAGAAGAAAAAAAAGGGGGGGGATGGAAACAAAGAAAGAAAAAACAGACACAGCGACCCACACAACTCTGCAGGAGTGTGGGCGTGTGTAGAAGTGTGGGGAAGCGGCATACACGCGCGTGCAAGAGGCAGGGGGCGGCGGCGGCGGCGGCGGCAAAACAAACAAACAAAAAAAAGGTGAGGAACAAACATGACGCAAGACAACTCACACACGCACACACACGCACAGAGGCACTTATATGCATGCCCGTGCGTGGGTGCGGGTGCGGCGTAGCAACCGAGGCCGCCGGCGGTGAGGGGCGCGAAGGGGGAAGTAACAAAACAAACAAACAAAAAAGGAGAAGAGGAGGGGGGGGGGGGGCGTAAAATGAAAATTAATAGTAAACAAAACCACACACGGCTCCCGCTCCCTCCCCCCTCCCCCTGCGGCTCACCACAAGAGCAAAGAAGCAGACCCCCCTCCCCCTCCCCGCAAAAAAAAAAAAAAAAAATACGTCCACCTCCGGCCCCTTACGGATCTCCCCCCGCCCCTCCGCCGCCGCCGCCGCCGTTTGGTTGCTGCGTCACAGTCCCCCGCCCACGCGCGCAAACGCACGCAGACAGGCGGCAACAGCCTTGCCGTGGCTGCCCCTCCGCCAGACCGCGTGTGCGTCAAACCAGCGCGGGGGCAGCCCACAAGAGGGAGAAGCGGCGGCAAGAGAAAAAACAAACAAACAAAAAATCAACAACACGCAACGGGCAGAAGGGGGGGGGGGGGCGCAGTCGTGTGAAGCGCACACAACGGCTGACACACCCCAAATATCCACGCCCGGCGGTGTCTAACCCGCACCGCAGCGCAAAATAACTAATAGTAGTAGTAATAAAAGTGGTGGTGGGCGGTGGAGAGGAAGTCCAGATGGGGGGACATGTAGCCACCCATCCAAATGCCCTTGGCGCGCTCGCCCGCACACCCCATACAAGCATACACACACGCACACACACGAATGAATACACACGCATATATATATATATATTATATGTATATGTATAAATAAAAACGGAGGGAATGAGCGAGAGAGTGCAGACGGGCGGGGGTTTCATGTGGGTGCATGCGTTTTGACTGCAGTCCGGGGGGCAGACCTCGTTGCGAGCGACGCGGATGCAAACAAAGAAGATAGAGAGAGAGAAAAAAAACAATTTACAAAACACAGAAATGTATATATGTATCTACGGCAAACACTCCCCACGCACACAACCAAACAGAGGAAGGCTCCGTGGACCCGTTTTCATTTCTTCCGCGCCCAGCAAGGCGCACATCCACAGCGTTCTGCGCCTCACAAACACGCGGAATCCTTGCAGCGCCGAGAGGGACCCATGTACATACATGCGGAAGGGAGCACGCACATGCAGAGAGGGAGACGGGGGTGGCTGGGAGCCGCAAACAAACAAAAAAAAACAGGCGTGGCGCAGCATTTAGCCGCAGCGTCGGTGCGCTTTCATAAAGACGGATGAAGCGCATTGCAGCCGAGACGCACTTCTCCTCGCTCTCCCTCGCTTTCCTCACCAGCACTCCCCCCCCCCTCCCCTCTTTCACTCCTTCGCAAAGAAACAACTACGGCTACTGCCGCAAGGAATACATAAAATAAATAAATACACACACACACACATATATATATATATATATACGTGCATGTAGCGTGTAGATGTGTCGCAATCACGCCGCCAGAAGACTTCCCACCCGTTTCCCCAAGCAAAACAAAAAACAAACAAACACACGAAAGAAAAAAAACAAAAACCAAAGCAAAAAAGACATCCAACAGCAAAAGCCCACGCACAGTAAAAATAGCACCCATACACACGCAACGGGTGAGACATCGGACTCTTACACCCTTGGCCTCAGTGAGAATAAAAAACAAAAAAAAACAAGAGGGAAATCAACAAAAGCGGCTGCAGGAAAAGAACAAAAAAAACACACACAACCCACACATACGCGAGACTCTGCAAGTGCCTTCGATATACTGGGCTCCCACCCACACGGATGTCCGTGTCTCTCTGTGTATGTCTGTTTTTCTGTGAGTGAAAAGGGAGATGGGAAAATAAATACAAGTTGAATGGAACGCACTCTCATCCACAGGAGTGGCCAAACTCAAATTTACAGTCTGGAGACCTCCCACCCACCTCCGTCGTACTTTTTAACTTCTTCTTATCTAGTTCATCCTGGGCCTGTTTTGCCCCCCTCCCCCAGTGCTGTGATGTTCCTCCCGCCCACTGCTTTCAAGGGGGACCACGGTCCCCCTTCCGCTTTGCCCGTTGCTCCCGCCGGTTTCTGGAGCGGGCGCCGTGGGAGTGGCGCGGCTGCCGGGATTGCTGGTGGAGGTCCATCGGGTGCTGCTGCGGCGTCCCTCGCGGCGTCGGTGACAAGACAAACAAGGGGTTGGAATTCGTGTTATACCCTACGCCACCCTTGTCGCTGTTGTGAGAGGCAGGAGGCGCCGCCACTGTCACTGCGGGTGCCACTGGCGCCACAACATCCTGCTGGAGCCTTCGTTGCTGTTGCGGCAGCCGCGAGGCGTCGGCGTCGGCGGCAGCGCGTGCGCTGTGCAGTTGCGCCATCGCCGTCATCGTCGTGTCGGCGCGCCCCAGCGCGGCGGTGTAGTTGCCTGCGTCACTGGCGGCAATTCCCTTCTGCTGGTAGTGCTGCGTAATGCGGGCCTTCGCCTGTTCCATTTTTGCCTCCACGCGTTTGCCAAAGTTCATTTCCAGCAGCAGCGGGAGCAGCCGGTGCAGATGGTGAATCAGCTGGATGAGTTCCGCGCAGACGGGCAGCACAGCGAGCATCTTCTGCACCACGTAATTGCCAAACTCATTTAGCGCGACCGTGGAGAGTATGGAGGGGGCGTGGTGCAGCATTTGCTGCGACGCCGCCGCCGCCGCGGGCAACGTGGAGGGCGCGTGTTGATGGTTCAGGGCGCCGCCGCCGTTGAGCAGCGGTGAGGCCTTCTCATCTGGCTCCTGCAGGAGAAACTGGCACAGCCGCACCTTGAGTGCCTCACTGCAGAAGTTCAGGATGGTCTCCACCACGTTGGAGGCAAACTTGTTGGTGCAAAGCACCTTCAGCGCGGGCCCCACACAGGCGGCAGCCCGGTCCACCACTTGACGCTGGTTTACGGAATTGCAGTGGCGAATGAGGTGCGCCACCACGTAGTTGCCGTACGGATTCGTGGAAAGCGGCAAAACATGCTGCAGCACCGCCTCCTGTAGACGCAGCAGCTGCTCTGGTGAGGCGGCGTCCATGCACTTCTGCACCACGCAGCACCCTTGCTTGTCGTTGCAGACGGCAAGCGTCATTTCCACAATGGCGTCATACACAAAGACAATGTCGTGCGGTAGGCACTGCAGCAGCTTCTGCACCACGTGCCCGCCGTTGAGGTCGTTCACAAGCAGCAGCACACCACGCTGCAGGGCCGCGCACACCACCTCCACCTCCCGCCGCGAGCGTAGGGAATCAATCAACTTCTGCACAGCGTAGTTGCCATGCGGGGAGACGGCAACCTCGCAAAGCGAGCCAGAGAGATGCTCTGAAAGCATCTGTAGCCTATCCTCATCCGGGGCAATCTCCAGCAGTTTCTGGACCAGGAAATTCCCGTACGGGTTGGCCATCACCTGCGGCAAGCCAGGCAGCAACTCTGTCACAATGCACTGGACCTCCCGCGAGTGGTAGGGGAAACGCTCCAGCACAGACTGCAACTCGCGACAGCCGTGTTGATCCGAGGCCATCTCCACCACGTAGCCGCGGTGAAGCGACAGCTGAAATGGTACGCGCGGGAAGACGGCGTCACGGTGGGGTTCGACGGAGGCATCAACCGGCGGACTGCGTCGCCGCTCCGACGACGCCAACGATGGACGGTTGATTTCTCCAGAGCAACTGGCAAACAAAGACACCAGCGGTGTCCCCTGCTGTTGTTGGGGTTGTCTGTGGGGCGGGTGCTGCGTGGTGGGCGCACTGCTGCGTTTGGAGCCCAAAAAGCTGGCCAAGTCCCGGAGCGGCGCTGACGGCGAGGACGACTTGAGACTGCTCCATCCCTCCTCGGGGAACGTCCACGAGTAGTCAGAGCCCCTGCCACTGTTGTTGGCAGTATTCCTATTGCTGTTACTTTTATTGTTCTTATTATTATACTTGTTTTTGCTACTGGCGGTAGCGGCGGTGGTGGGATTATCAGAGCCTTGTGGGGCGAGGTGACACCCCGCAGCATGCTTCACCAGTGGCAGGGGCCTTATCAGTGCACCTCGAAGGGAGTCGGAGAGTGTGTCATGCCGCTCTGTGTACTTCTGCTGCTGCTGCTGCTGCTGCACAACACAACCGCCGCGGTTCCCCACCTCCCACGCGTTGTTGCCCACATGCTGTTGTTGTTGCTGCTGTTGCTGCAGTGTATATGGGCCGCCGCTCAGCACCAAATTGTTCGGCTGCGGTGAGGGCCATCGTACGGCGGAAGCTCCTGTCGAACCGATCGGTGCGTTCACCGGGGACAAGTTGAGTAGCAGATTGAGGCTGCTCAACGGGTCGCTTGCGCCGTGAGAGCCGTTCACGTGGCTGATAGCATTATTATTCTTATTATTGCTGTCGTGGCTGCTGGGGATGGGGGCCCTGGCGGCGAGGCTGACACCGTGGACGGCGGTCGTCACGCTGTGCGCCATCCCAAACGGGGTGGACGTCGCACTCGTCGTCGCTGCGGCGCCGGTGGCGGGCAGGAAGCTCGGCCGCGCCGCACTCGCGCTGTGCGCCGACGGCGTGAGCCCCGCCACCACCGAGTACGGCGAGCTGGAGGGCGTCTTCAGCGGGTTCTCCGGCGACGCGGCCACCGCGCCGGTGTGCGCCCCGCACGAGGAAGCCGCGGTGTGGGCGGTGGCGGCTGCGCTCACCCACCCGCCCGCCGCGGGGCTCGCCGGGGCGTCGAAGAACACCGGCACGGCCCCCCGCGCCGCCTCCCCGCCGACGTCCGCCGCCAACGAGCAGAAAGAGACCGGCAGCGGGGCGGGGCCCCGGTGCGGCGCCCCCGCCTTCCGTTCCCCGCAGAGGAACTGCCCCGACGCCCCCGCCCCGGCGGCGACGGGAGCGGCGGCACTAGCGCTGTTGGCGTCCTCCTCCCCGTCGCCTTCCCTGGCCGCCCGCACCGCGGCAACCTCGGCGAGGAGGGAGGACAAGTTCCACGCAATGCCGCTCTCCTCTTCCATCCACGGCAACGCAAACCAATGCAGCTACGTACGTCTGCCTGCCTGTCAGTCCGTGTGTGTGTGTGGTGGGCGTGCTCGCACACTAGCGCTCTGTGTGTGTAGTCTTTTTTTCCCCCTTCCTTCCTCCTTCTCCACCGCACCCGCATGCATCGAGAGAGAGCGAGAGAGAGAGAGAGAGATAATGACGAAAGCAAAGGAAACACAACGGGAGAAGAAGACAAAAGACTACTGAGGCGGGTATAAATGACGGCACCGCAAAGAAGAGGAGGAAGAAAAAATGAAATAAAAACCAATACACTAAAAGAAAAACCACAAAAACAGTAACGCAAAGGCGGAGGCCGAGCGCAACCGCCACAGCCGTAGGCTGTGCGTTTATCCCTAACACGTACACGTCCCTGCTGCATTATTATTGTTTCTTCTTCTGTTTTGCTTGCAGTTTTCAGTGGGCGGTGGTCGCGCCTCCCTGCGCCGCGGCTACACGTTTTCGTCAATCGCCACGCGCTCCTTCAGGAGTGCGGCCCACGCCTCCTCGCAGCATTCGTAGGCGGCGGCCGAGTCTGCCGTCGCCCGCGACGACAGTGCCGCGTACCGCCGCTTCAGCATCAGCGCCTGCACCGCAATGCCGTCAAGCTGCCGCACCTCGCGCAGCCTCGCCTCGTGCTGCGCCATGAACCCCACGGGGCTCAGCAGGAAAAGCAGCAGCGTCACCCCGGCGGCGGCAAGGGCCCACATCAGTCGCCGCTGCTGCGCCACACGCGCCGGGTGCCGCAGCCGCCAGACGCGGTAGATGCGGCGGTGCTGCCACGACGCGATGAGCCCGGCCCCGGCGACGCACGCGGCGACCGCCCCCGCGCACACCCGCGTCGCCGTGACGTGGCGGTGGCCGCGCCGCAGCCGAGCGACGGCGGCGGCCTCACAGCTGTTGTACAGAAGCTGCGCGTCAACGGCGCGCGCGTCACACGGCGACGCGGCGGCGGTCGCGGGCAACCCGCTCGCCGCCATCCTACGCCACCCACACGCTACGGGAAGGAAGGACGCGGGAGAGACGTGCAGCCGCGGACACCCGCACGCGCAGAGACGCAGAGAAAGCGAGAGAGAGAGAGAAGAAAAAAAAAACAAAAACAAAACCAAAAAGAAACGTGACAACCATGTACCCCTTCTTCGCACATCCGCTCGCCCAGTTGCGCGCTTTCTTTTTTTTATTTTTGTCCCCCTCCCCACCCCCACTTCTTCCTCTTATTGTCTCTAGGAAGAATTCCTTCAGTTGCTCTCTCGTTCCCTCCGTGGTTGTGCTCCCAAACCCTCGTGCGTTGCTCCCGCCCCATGCGCCGCATCCAGCAACACACACACACACAGAGAGAGAGAGAGAGAGAGAGCGACAGGCGCACGCCCAAATTTCCCACCATCCGAGGCGGCAGCGACACGGCAAAAACAAAAACAAAAAACAAAACACAAAAACAAGGCAAGGCAAAAACCAGCAGAAAAGCTGCAATAAAAAGAAACAACATCAACAACATCAAAAAATGGAAAAAGAAAAAGGCGGCGGAAACAAAGAAGCTAAGGAGTAAAATCACTAAAAAGTGAGTATAAATATAAATCTAGATATAAACGTGTTGATGCTTGTGCGCCAGCGCTGTTGCCTACATGCTGAGTGCGCCTCTGCCTTGGAGCAAACATACACACATCACAATGCCGCAGGCAACGGAGGGTGGGTATCGTCGGGGGAGGGCTGGGGGTGACGAGGGAGAAGGCTCGCAGCTGAAGGCGACCTGCGCACCTGCGCTCCGTGCCCCCCTCCCCTCTCCCCTATTACTCTACAGTTGCTACCTGTTTTTTTTTTCCTTGTTGTTTCTCTTGTTGTCCCTTCATTGCGTCTTTATAGTTGTCCCGCGGCAACGGACACCGGAGTGTGCCAGGCCTTCTACAAAACACTTATGCCTAGCGCCTTCCGTAGCTCCGTAGCAAGCGGCAGTCGCAGTATGCCGTGGTGGTAGCGAACCACCTGCGGGTACTGCTGCTTGAGCGTCGCCCCAAGTTGCTTCAGCGACAGGGCCTGGTTGACGGCGAGTGCGACGACGAGGTCCGCCGCGGTCAGTGAGTCCCCTACGAGAAAAATTAGCTCGCTGGGCGGATTGACGCTCCGTCGTGGGCTGTAGCAGGAAAGGCGCGGAGTCTGCCCCGAGGGCCGCGGCGAGGGTGCCCCTAAGTGCGCCAGCAATGGCGTCCCGCTGCGTCCCTCCTGCGCGACCGCCTCGTTGGCGTTCGCGCTGGGCTCCTCCACGTGAGTCTTGATGTTGTAGGTGTGGTACCCGCGCAGCACGGTGCTCTCCCGCGGCGTTGCGGCGAGGAGGTAGTCGTCCTCCGACAGTCCTTCGTCCACCTCCTCCTGCATTCCCGTGCGGGAGCTGAGGGGGTTGTTGCTACTGCCGCCGACGACCGCCAGCTTGCGAAGCTGCTTCTTGTACACCAGCCGCTGCTCGAGGCCGTTTAGCCCCTCCCGCAGGGAGTCCATCAGCGACTGACGCGCCGCTGATTTGGCCGCCGCAGCGTCGCCTTGCGCCTTTGCTGCCTGCTTCTTCTCCTCCTGCTCCGCCGCGAAAAGTGGGAAGACGTACGGGTCGATTTCGTTCGTGACAAAGTCCAGCCACGCGTCCACCTCGGCCGCCTCCTGCAGCCCTTTTCCATAGAGAATGTACGGCACGACGTGCTGTGGCGAGGGGTAACGCTCGCCGCCGTCCACCCCGTATGGACGCTCCGTGCGTGCAAGGTGGCGTACGATGGCGTTTGCCTCAAAAAGGTAACCCTCGTCGGTCTTCAGCACCGGCACCCGGCCGAGCGGGTGGCAGTTGCGGCGGTAACTCTCCCCCGCAGTTTCGCTGCCGAGCGTCACGGGGACCACCTTGAGCCGCGTGCCCGCGTAGGCGGCAACCAGCAGCACCCGCTGCACCCGGGGGTTGTCAAGCGGGCCAATCAAACTCAGCACCATGGCCGTCCAAGCTGCCTGCCTACCCCCGCCTTTTTTTTTCTCTGTTCTCTTCCCTCTCGTTGAATACGAACCAGCAGCAGCGCTCTGGAAGCCCCTTCCCCAAGGAAACAGAACAACAACAAAAAAAAAAGGGCGGAGTAATTCCTTTTTTTTTGTTTTGTTTGTTTTAAACTTTGGTGTGGTTCCGCACTGGCTCCTATGGATGGCTTGCGGTGGCTGCGTGCGAGTGCGTATTTGGGTGTGTGTGTGCGATGACTCCCGGCTTCTTCCCACGCGACCGCGGAGGAAACAAAAACAGGCAAAACACGAAAAAAAAACACACACACACACACAAAAAAAATGGGGGAGGGGGGAGGGAGAGAGCAGTAGAAAGAATAACGTCGAGATCAGCAGAGGAGTTCCGTACGGGGGAGGGGAGAGAGAGAGTAAAGGAGGCAAAGGGACAGAGTGGCGGGGAGGGAAGCACGGAAAGAGTGGGGGAGGGGGGGAAAGGGAGACGGTGAGGGGGACGCGTACACCCAGAAGGAATCTCAAGGATTCGCGTGCACATTCCCCGCGCCTTCTCTTCGCTGAATTGTTTTGCTTCTGTTTTTCATTTTCGCCTTGATTCCTATTCGTGTGATTTTCGTTTAGCCTTCTTTTTTTTCTTCTTCGTTTTTTTCCGCCTTCCTTCTTTTTTTTTTTGCCTCTTCTTCTTAAGTTCCTCCTCGGACGGAGCGACATCGCAGGCAGCGCCACGGCGCACCAGTGAAGTGCGGCGAGCGGCGGAGCCACTGCGGCAGCAGCCCCCCTCCTGCCTGAAAGGGGCAAATGCATATATGTCTCTCTCTCTCTCCCTCTCTCAGTGTGTCTGTGCGTGTGTTCGTGGTTCTCAACCGCCGCCGTCCCGCCCCACGCGTTACGGCCCCGTGGCGCCGGTGGCAGCTGCGGAGGTTGAGGCGGTGGTGGTGGCGGTGGTGGTGGCGGCGGTCTCCACCGCGCTGGCGGCGGCCGTGGAGGGCGCGGCACCACCGCCACCACCGGACACCACCGCGCTAAGTCCCGCACGGGCAGGGTCCGAGAGGTCCTTCTCGACCTCCGCGAGGTTTGGCTGGTAGTTCTCCTCCGTCTCCATCTTCCATTTATTTTGGTTGAAGAAGTCGTACCCGCCGGCGGTGCGTCGCCGCATCCACTGCTGCCGCACCTTGTGAAACCACCAGCCCCGCTCCAGCAGAACCCGGGCGGCGGCCACCTGCAAAAGATCGCGTGGCATGGAGTAGAAAATGTACAGCAACGTCTCGTCCGTGTACTTCTGCAGCAGCTTCAGCGTCGGCTGACGCGGCTTGGCCTGCCTGTAGCAATCGGGGATGCGGTACTCCGCGGCGACGGGCACCTCAGGGCGCTCCAGCGCCAAGCTCGCCAGCGTTGGGTACAGCGGACGCTGCTGTGCTACGTTGATGCCAAGCGAGGTGAGGTCAAAGCCGCGGGTGAGGTAGAGAAAGGCCGCACTCTCTGGGTTTTCCAGGTTCAGCGAGTGCTGAATGAGGCCGGGGAGGGCCAAAAGACCATACGGCCCCTCCAGCGCCACGCGCCCCCGCGGCTGTTGTTGTTGTTGTTGTTGCTGTTGCTGGCCCTGCTGCTGCTGCTGCTGCGGTTGCTGGTGGTGGACGGGGGCGGCGGCTGCCGGATACGGCTGATGCGGCTGCTGTTGGGCCATGATTTGTTGCTGCTGCGCCACGAACGCCGTTGTGGCGACGGGGTAGGCCCCACGCATCGCCTGGTACGGGTTCGGCGCCGCCGCCGCGGGGTACGCCATCTGAACCCCCGGTGGAAGCGCCCCACCGTAGCGTGCCGCCTGGTTGCTATTGTTCATTTCCACCTTCCTCGCGCTGCCGGCGCGTGTGCGTCTCTCCTTCGCTCTACAAAGCCCGGGCTTTACTTTTACGCACCCAAGAAGAAGAATAAGCAGAAAGAACTTGTTGTTGTTGTTGTGTTCCCCCCACCCCACCCACCTGTTTCTGTTTTCTCTTCTTGTTTTTAAAAGGCCCCCTCGTCGCGGGTGGACGGAGGTACGCAAGGACGTGTGCGTCGTCGTGCGGCGCCTCTCGCGGAGGAAAAAGAAAAACAAAAAAACTGCGACTAAAAAATGCTCCCGCTGCGTCTGGGCGACGCCCGCGGGGACGCGCAGAGCGCGGCAAGAGAAAAAGGCGCGGGCGGGGCAGACAACGGAGGTGTGCGGCGGCGGGGGACACACACGCACAAAGCTCCCCACACACACGCCTGCAAGCAGTAAACATTTGCCTGCGCATTGTGTGTGTGTGGAGGTATTGTTTTTATTACTACTTTTTTTGTTTTGTGTTATCTTGGGTATTTTGCCTACAGAAGTAATAT